CACAGGGAAGAAAAGCCGGACGGCTGAGGAGCGGGGTCACCGAGCGCCCCTCCTCGCTGGGTGCCGACGTGACGTCACGGCGAGGCGGGACGGGCAGCCGGCACCGGCCGGAAGCGCGAGCCACACCCACTTTCGGGCCGCTCTGGGAGCCGCAGGGTCACACTCGGTGGTCAGTAGCGCCCCCTGCCGGCCGGTGGCGGCGCGGCTCGCTGGACGGGGCGGTACCCAGGGCCCGGGTCCCCGATGGTGGACCGGCCACCCCGCTGGGCCCGAGCCAATCGTCGGGAGGCTCTCCTTGCCCCATCTCGCCCGCCGGCTTCTAGGGTGACCTGGAAGCTCAGAAGCCGTGCTCATTCCCGGGGGGTGGCGGGGGGACCCGCCCGGCAGAAGAGGCCTGTCCCTGCAGGGTCTGGCTCGGGCGCCCCGTGCGGGGTTGGGTCTTTCCTGCCCGTTTCCGGGCGGAGTAGCCGGGTACGACTCGTCCTCTGCTTCCCCTCTCCTCAGGCCTTTGCTGGGGGACATCCCGCCGCCCCCGCGGGGTCAGACTGTGGCAGGGGGTCTGAGCACCAGGGGGCTTTTCACTGGGCGGCTTTGGGTTGCAAGTGGTGATGGTCAGTGCCAAGGGGCTGGTTGGTGTGATAAGTGATTTTCTTGGGTTTTGTGTTTTTGAGCCACCTTCAGCTATTCGCAAAGATTACTCCCGGCTCTGTGCTCAGGGCTGACTCCTGGCTCTGTGCTCAGGGCTGACTCCTGGCTCTGTGCTCAGGGTTCACTCCTGGCTCTGTACTCAGGGCTCACTCCTGGCTCTGTGCTCAGGGTTCACTCCTGGCTCTGTGCTCAGGGCTGACACCTGGCTCTGTGCTCAGGGTTCACTCCTGGCTCTGTGCTCAGGGCTCACTCCTGACTCTGTGCTCAGGGTCACTCCCAGCTCTGTGTTCAGGGCTGACTCCTGGCTCTGTGCTCAGGGCTCACTCCCAGCTCTGTCTCAGGGCTCACTCCCAACTCTGCTCTCAGGGGTCACTCCTGGCTCTGAGCTCAGCACTCACTCCTGGCTCTGTGCTTGGGGCTCACTCCTGATTCTGTGCTCAGGGCTCACTCCCGGCTCTGCTCTCGGGTCACTCCTGGCTCTGTGCTCAGGGCTGACTCCTGGCTCTGTGCTCAGGGCTCACTCCCGGCTCTGTGCTCAGGGCTCACTTCCAGCTCTGTGGTCAGAGCTCACTCTTGGCTCTGTGCTCAGGGATTATTCCTGACAGGGATTTGGGGACCAAACGGGGTGGAAGGGATTGAGTGCGTCAGACCTCAAACGTCCTCCCCACTGAACTATCTGTGGCTCGAATACTTGAGATTTCAAATCTTTGCTTAGCAGTATTCAGCACTGATGGGTCTCTCTGTACACAGGAGGTGTGTGTGTTAATCAATTTCACTCATGAAAACCTTTCATTTTGTTTTAAAGCATCTTCACATTTTCCTCTTGTTTTCTTTGCTTGTTTTTTTTTCGGGGGGGTCCACACTTGGCAGTATTCAGGGGTTACTCCTGGCTCTGCACTCAGGGTTCACTCCTGATAGTGCTTTGGGGACCATGTGGGATGCTGGGGTCAAACCTGGTGGGCTGTGTGCAAGACAGCCCTGACCCACTGTGCTATCGCTTTGACCGCCTCTTGATTTTTTTTTTTGACACACTGGTGGTGCTCAGGATGCTCAGGTGGTGCTCAGGACTTACCCCGACAGTGTACTCTGGGGTCGCACCTGTGACTTAGAGGACCATATGGGGTGCCTAACTTTGGCCGGCTGCATGTAAGGCAAGCACTCTGCCCTCTGTGCTCTCTCTCTCCGATGCCGCTCCTCTTGATATTTCTGTTTATTTTTAAGCCACATCTGGTGGTGCTCAGGGCTTCCTCCTGGCTCTGCACTCAGGATCATTGCTGGAAGGGCTCAGGGGACCCGGGATCAGGAGGCTCGCTCTGCCTCTAGGGTGACCTGGACGCTCAGAAGCCACCATGCCCAGCTCTGTGGTGGGGAATCAGATCTCAAGGTCCAGCTTCTCAGGGATGCCCAGGATCCTGTAGGCTGAGCCAGTTGGGGAGGGGGCTGCTTGGCTGGCACAGAGCAGAGGGCACAGCCTGTGTGGTGGCCCCATCCAGTGTGCGGTCTCTTCCCCAAAGTGACCAAGCCCCAATGGATGCCTCAAAGGCCTATATGCATGTGTGTGTGTGTGTGTGTGCGCGGGCCTGTGTGCTTGTGCATGTGTGTGCATGAGTGTGCATTCCACACGTGTGTGTGTGTGTGTGTGTGCGCGCGCGCACGCAGGCTGTGTGCCTGTGCATGAGTGTGCATTCCGTACGTGTTTGTGTGAGACCTGATGCGGTGAGACGTTGCCAGCTGGGGGCACCACGTGACCATGTCTCAATTCCGATGGTTCCTGGTATTGGACCATCTCAGACACTCTGAGTAACCTGGAGGCTGTGAGCTGGCTCCCTTTGGGGCTGCCTGACTCTGCACCCCATATTACTCCTTTGACGTGGGGTTCACCCCTTTGTGCACTTGGGGATCTTTTTTTGTTATTGTTGTTTTCTGTTTTCTGGGGATGGAAGCTGGGGTCTCATACTGTCAAGGCAGGCACCCTTTCACCCAGCCATTCCCCCAGGCCCCCTAAACTCTTTTGTATGTGTGTTACGTTCCTCCCTGGCCTCCCTTTTGTTGTTGTCCAGTGAGAGTGTCCAGCACACTTGGCCACCAGATGCTGAGTGCTGTGAAGGGCAGGGAGGGAGCCAGCCAGTGGGGTGGTCGGGGCTGGGACATTCCCCCACCCAGTGCCCTCATTCTTCTCCGTGGGAGGGAGAGGAAGGCGTGCCGGGGGGGGGGGGGGGGGGCTCCTGCCACAAAGCAGCAAGGGTCTGGGCTGTGCAGGCCACCACTTGCTTCCGCTCCATTCCCATCTCACGATGGGGATCGCTGTGCCCTCCCGACCCCGCGGCATGTTTAAGGCGGTGCGTATGTGCTGGCTTATCCCACTGTTCACCCCCTGGAGGTACTGGGCTCGAGGGCCAGCTATGTGCTGCAGCCTGCTGAGAATTGAGTCTTTTCTAGGTGATGGCCACTGGACAGGCAGAAAACAGAGTGGACAGAGGGTGTCAGGTCCCACCCACAGCTGCTGAGTCGGGGCCAGGGAAGGCCCCGTGTGGCCAGGTGACGAAGCACCCGGGACAGACCCCGCAGTACCCGTGTCCTGTCGTCCTGCAGCAGTGCCTGTAGCTGCTCCTGGTGGGACCCCCCCCACCCCACTCCCTGGGGCGCAGTGCGGCCCCTCCCTGGCCTGATGGGCAGGGGGTTCCTGGCCCCCTCTCCCTTCTCCCACAGACCCCTGTGTGCAGTCAGGAGCTCACCTGGCGTAGAGGGCACACCCCCACACCCTTAGGTCTCTGCAGACCTGAGCACTCCCTGTTCCAGAAAGTTCCCCAGAGGACAGGTCACAGGAGGGTGCCCCTGGGAATCCCTGTCCTCAGGAAAGTCCTGCTCTGAGGTCACAGCGTCACCCTCACCCAGTTCCCACCCACTGGAACAAGGACAGGAAGTGCATCAGAGCCACCTGCTTCCTGCGTGAGAAAGGAAGTTCCCAGACAAACAGGGCCTGGGCTCAGGGGGAGGGGGCCTGGCGGGGGACAGGGGGGGGTCTAGGCTGGGGCCCCACCTCTGGGGGCTGGAAGGGGCTCCTCAGCCCCACACTCTCAGCTCTGTCTGTTAGGGAGGGGTGGGGCCGTGCTGCGGTGCTGGGGCGGCTGTGTCTGGGCCTGACCCCACTGTGGGCGGCTCAGGGAGCTCCACAGTCCAGAACCCTGGACGTTCTCTGGGATACGGCCAGGCCTGGCCAGGCGTTGGGAGTGTCTCCTGTTGGCCATAGGAGACGAGGTCAGCCTAGCTCCGCCTTCCTGAGTCCTCAGGCCTGAGGTCCCACTGCCTTAGCTGGAGACCCGGGGCAGTTAATGGGGGGCTCCACACCCACTAGGCCTGAGACTCACCGGCCCCTGGGCTGTGCGGGCTGCCCAACTCAGTGCAGAGCTGAGATCGAGGCTCTGCCTGGTCAGGGGGCAGGCACTCACTTCTTCCAGGGAGCTCTCCCAGATACGCCCAGGAGTCCCATGGGAACTGATATGTGTCCTGGATACTGTGTCGCCTGCACTTGGCACCACCACAGCACCAGGAAGATCGTGAGGATCTAAGCCCTGGGCCATGTGCGCTGTCACTGTCCTGCAGGGGGATGGGTGGGAGGGGCAGTGCAGGGCAGAGACCCCCCAGGCATGCACAGTGCTGACCCCTACATGTGTGCACGGCCCCTACATGCATGTGCGCCCCTGACCACCACATGTGCATGGTCCTGACCCCCACACACGTGTGCATGACCCTGACCCCCATGTGCACGTGCACGACCCTGACCCCCATGCACGCGTGCACGACCCTGACACCCACACACGCGAGCACAACCCTGACACCCACACATGCATGCGTAGACTGACCCCCACGTATGCACGGCAGACACCACAGGGGAGCACAGAGCACCCTGGGTGCGGCATCAGGCTGAGGGTCTTGAGCCAGGCCCCAGAACATCCCGGGCTGCCTTTGGGGTCGGAAGAGGCCCAGGACACAGAGAGAAGCACTGGGCTGGGGTCCAGCGAGACCAGGGGCTTGGGAGCGGCTCAGGCTGGGACAGGGGTCAGGGCCTGTCCTCCAGCCTGTCCCTCAGGGCACAGCAGGGCTGCTACAGGCAGTCGTCATTCCAGGAAGAGGGGCGGGAGCTCCTCACTCTCCCCACGGGCTCTGGGATGCTCTGCCGGGATTGGGGGGTCTCCACAGGCCTCTTGCTCCTCTGTGTCCCCCAAGCCTGTCTCCGCATGGCCACTCACCGCAGAGGTCCTAGCATTGACCCTGCGGTCAGGCAGGGCGGGTGCAGGGCGGCCCAGGAAGCCGACAGGAAGCAGGACATGCAGGATGGGGACGGCTGGTGCTGAGAGTCCCGGAAAAGTCCAGTTTATTCCCGCAGCTGCTGACCCCGGCAGGGTGGAGGGGCCAGGGGGCCTGGTGGGGGCTTCAGGACCCCAAAAAGTGAATGCCACACAGGAGGCTGAGCAGAAGGGTCATGGCCACAGCGAGGGGGCAGCCCCAGGGACCCCCCACACCCCTACTCCGGGCACCCCCTGCCCTGCCCCACTGGGGGTCCCCTAGCCCTCCCTCGGGGCCCTCCCAGGGTGGCACATTGCACAGCGGGGACTCGCAGCAGGTAACGGTCATCAGGGTCCGCTCCACAGTCTTGGTGATGGGGTGACACGTGTCTGAGCACCAGGCCGAGTAGGTGGTCAGGGGCCCGGACTCTGGGAGAGGGGGCCGGGAAGGGGGAGGAACCCTGGGTTAGGCCCCGCAGTTCAGGGGGCAGCCACGGCCTCCCGGGGCTCCCCGGCCCCCGCCGCTCACCAGTGTCCCCGTGAGAGACGAGTGTTTTGCAGAAGCGGTGACGGGGCCCACAGCGCTGTCGCAGGAGGCAGCTCTCCGGGCTGGGCAGTGACTGGCACGAGTAGCAGTGCAGCCCTGGGGTGGGGCCTCAGTGGGGGCTCCGCCCACACCACGCCCACCTCTGTACCCGCCCACCTCCCAGTCCAACACGCCCACTCCCCACCCGCCACGCCCACCACCACGCCCACTCTCCTCCCCCCACCCCCCCCACTCCTCCCCAGCCCAGGGGCCAGGCCTGGACATTGGGGGCGCAGGGGCCAGGGCCAGCAGGTAAGCATAGGCTTGGTGGCGTTCCCCGGGCGGAGCAGCCGGACTGTGTGGAGGTGCTCAGGAGCCCCTGAGACCCTTCTGGTCGGGGTCACCCCAGGCCCTGGCAGTTCTGGACCCCCTTCCCGGCCCTGCAGCCCCTGGGCCAGGCCCCGGTGTGGGGACTCACAGTAGCCCCCAGAGCCCCGTGTGCCGGGCTGCACCTTCATCCCTGCCGTCGTCCACCAGCACGCTGGCCTCGTCCATCTCGTCGTCGTCGTCATCATCATAGCCCTCCTGCCCCAGGTCCACGTCGTCCTCATCCTCATCCTCATCCTGCACCTGGCCTTGCCCTGCCGTGAAGGGACCCCGTAGCCTCGGCGGGGGCAGGCCTGGCTCACCCACTGCTCCATAGCCGTCTCCCGCGGGACGCCAGCACGGCACGCCCCGGAGGCCCAGAGCTCACTCAGTGCCAAGTCCAGCTCAGGGCAGGGCCGGGCCAGCCCTGTCTCCAGCCCCCCTCACCCTTACCTGAGGGTCCGCAGAGCAGCAGAGCGAGCAGGGCTGCCGTGAGCGCCTTCATCCTCCCGTCTGAGCTCTGGCCTTGTGCGCGGCTGTGACTGTGGGAAGTGGGACACAGGGCATTGCCAGGGGCTTCCTGTAGCCCCCCCAGCTCCACCTTAAACAATGGCCTCACACAGGCCCCCTGCTCCAGGCAGCAGGCCAGGGCGGCCTTGTCCCCTGAGGCCTCTGCCTGGAGGGGAAGGAGAGCCTCCAACGTCAGCCTTGGGGCGTCCTGGCCACCTGGTGGGGTGGCCACAGCAGCCAGCTGGGCCTTGGGGCTGCGTGTGTGGGCTCTGAGCGCAGGGACACGTCACTCAGCACAGAAGGCGCCCCCCTCCCTCCCTCTGTGCCCCTCCCCCCTCCTTCCTTCTACACTTTCCTTCCCTCTCTTCTCTCCTCTCTTCTCTCCCTTCTCCACCAGATTCTTCTCCCTCCCCTACCCCTCATCTGCTCCCTTACTTTTGCACCCCCACCCTTCTCACCCCCCAACACCCACCCACCTGGGTCTAGACTCACCCTCTGACCTCAGGCTCCAATGCAAGGGCACCCCGTACCACCCTGGGGGAGCCCATGGGGAAAGCTGGTGCCCACCAGCTGTGTCCAGACCTCCCCCTCTCCTCTCCTGTGGCCCAGCCTCCTGCCCGGAGACCCCTTGCCTGCCTGGCCGCGCTCAGGGTCAGTGCCTGTGCATGGTTCTGAGGTGTCTGGCCCAGTGGTCATGCTGCGTTGGACTCAGAACTCTGCCAAGGGACGAGCTCCGGCCATTCCTGCTGTTCCTGCCCCTGCCATGGGCCTTACTCCTTGGAAAATGTGACCCTATCCTCTCCTCGCTCCCCGAGGACTGCCCCGGAGAGCAGCTCCCAGACCCAGGGGGGGACCGCGGCACGTACCCTCTCCCGTGCTCCAACAGTCCACACCCCTCTCCTGGGGTCTCGGAGTGCCCCCAGTGCCCAGCCAGGCAGACCACTCTCAGGGCGTGCAGCTGGTACAAGTCCTGGGTCCTGGTGCCAGCACGGAACACAGTAGCTGTGGTCAGGCCCTCCTGGGGCAACGCCGGCAGCACCATCTACTCTGCCTCCTCCCTCCCATGCTGGTCTGTGCCAGAACCTCAAATCCCGGTTCCTGCCGTTCCTGGATACCCTCAGCCCTACCCATGCACCCCAGTCCCAGGGCAGAGGGAACCCAAGGTTGCTGGTACTTCCTGGGCAGCCCAGCCCAGCCTGTGTCCACTCCTACCTGTCCCAGGCCTGTCTCAGGGTCAGTGGCCCCATGGCTGGCCTGTCCAGTGGCGCAGAAGGCCTGCACTTTGGGCTGAAAACGTGGGCTTCTCTCTCCCAAGAAGTTGCTCTGAGCAACGATGCTGCGAGGGTGGGCACCCCCCTCCCAGGGACCCCAGTTGGGCAGCTCTGGGCTGGCGCGGGGCCCCGGCTCTCTGCGGGGTCCCTCCTCTCATGCCTGCAAACATATGTAGGATCTCAGGGACACCAAACAAGGACAACAACCAATCTTTCTCGCTCATCTACCAGCTCCCTCCCCATCTCCTTCCTGAGCTGCTCCGGATGGCGCCAGGGGTGAGGAGTGCCAAGAGCCAAGCTCTCTGGAGTCCTGGGCTCTGGGGCTCCCAGCCGCACCCATCCAGACTCCCTGACCCAGACGCAGGAGGGCCACGCCCCCAGAGCCCAACTGCACGGGCCACGCCCTGCTGGGCCACGCCCACGTCGAGCCACGCCCCCAGAACCCGACTGCACGGGGGCCCTCTGAGGGGGTGCAGGCAGGGTCTCCACGCCTGCCGGGCAGAGTAAAGTCTTGGCTGCCAGGCACTGAGCCCCTCGGGGTTCCGACTGGGCACTCCAGGGCTTCTGGAACTCTCCGCCCCGTCCTGGGACCAGGCAGCCTGAGGGTGCTGGACACAACCCCGTGGGGTCCTGGGACTCTCCTCGACCTGCCTGGTGGGGGAGGGCAAGGCCCCTCAGCCCCTGAACCACACCCTCCAGGGGAGATGGGCTTATGGGAAGTGTGGGCCCTGCTGCCCCCAGAGATGCCCGTGGCCCCCTCCTCCTGCAGTTGGCTGCTGGGGACACCAGGCCCATAGCCTGCTCCACAACCCGGGCTTGTCCTTCCCTCCCTCCCCGTCACCTCCTTCCCCTCTCCTGTTCTGTCTTCCCCCTCACCTCCTTCCCCTCACCTCCTTATCCTCTCATCTCCTTCCCCTCTCACCTCCCTGCTCCCCTGGTGGTCCTGAGTTGGTCTGAGGCTTGACTGTAGGATTGTCCCAGACCCTCGTATCTGCCCTTCCCCACCTCCTCCAAGTCCTGCAGCCTCTTGCCTCCTCCAGAGCCCCTGCCATAGCCCCTGCATGCCCAAGGACACCCGTCAGTGTGCCCACAGCCCCCACCATATGAAGCCCATGCCGGACCCCCTGCCCTCAGCCCTACCCTGCCCCTTGGTTTCTCCACCGCCCTAAACTCCATCTCCAGAGCTCTGCGGTGACAGGCTGCCACCATTCCCAGGGCTTTCAAATGACCCCAACAGCCCCAACTAAGCAGCAAAACACCTTCAATATTTCACAAGATGAGACACTTGAAACAATACGACTAGTCAGTTGTCTACGAAGTAACATTGGGACTGGGGGCTGCAGGGCGCAGGGCCTCAGGCACCCCTGCACCCCCTCCCGCATGCTGCCCGATAAGAAGCTCAAGTGTTACTTATTTTGGGGGCTGCTCATGACTTACTCCTGGCCCTGTGTTTGGGGACCCTGCATGGCTCCAGGAGGGAGCCACGGCAAGGCAGGTACCTCACTTCACCGCTTCATGCTCGGTCTGGCGTGAAACTGCCCCACGTCCCACAGAATGGCTGGGTCTAGCCATGGGTCACGTGACCGTGTCCCCCAGGATGTCCATGACTAATCATGTGTCATGTGATTGCATGCTCTACAGCGTCCCATGTCTAGCTGTGTCATGTGACTGTGTTCCCCACAACGGCTCATAGCTAACCACATGTCATGCGATCTGCACCCCCAATAATGTCACGTGTCTAACTGTGTATCACTTGACCGTGACCCCCACAATGCCCTGTGTCTAACTATGGGTCATGTGACCATGTCCCCCACAGTGTCTCAGTGCCTGTCATGTGACTGCTTTCCCTGGACCAGCTGCCCGTGGACAGGCCTGTATGGAGTCAGCCTTGCTCTGGGACTTGCAGCTTCTCTTTGCTTGCCACGGAAGCCTTGTGGGGTCTGGAGCGGGGCCGGGCGGTGGGGAGCGGCGGCTCTCTGCAGTTCTTCCATGGCCTGGGACCTTGAGTTGCTGGGTCACTCCCTTCCTGCCGTGGCGTCTGTAGAGTGTCTGCTGGGGCTTGTCTTTCCATCCCACGAGAGACGCTCGTGTGCTTTGGGACATCTGAGAATCTTTTTTTTTTGTGACAAATGTTATTATAGTTGCCTTTATTATTTGGTTTTTCTAATGGGCATTTAATTTAAGCAATCATGGGTGATAGTAAGTTTTTTTTTCCTGAAAAGTTTAATCAATATTTATTTATTTATTAGATTTTTATTAGTGAAACACTATGAGGTACGGTTGTAGATTTACAAATTTTTGTGCTTGGGTTTCAGTTATACAATGATCGAATACCCATCCCTCCACCAGTGCCCATTCTCCACCACCACTGATCCCAGTACTCCTCCCATCCCCCGTCCCCCCCATCCCACCCTGCCTCTGTGGCAGGGCATTCCCCTTTGTTCTCTCTCTCCTTTTGGGTTCTGCGGGTTGCAAAATAAGCATTGAGTGGCAATCATGTTAGGTCTAAAGTCTACTCTCAGCACGCAGCTCCCATCCTGGAATCTTTTTTTTTTCTTTTTTAAAATTTTTAATTTTTTTTTTTTTTTTTTTGCTTTTTGGGTCACACCCGGCGATGCTCAGGAGTTGCTCCTGGCTTATGCACTCAGGAATTACTCCTGGAGGTGCTCGGGGGACCATATGGGATGCTGGGAATAGAACCAGGGTCAGCCATGTTGGCCGCGTGCAAGGCAAATGCCCTACCCGCTGTGCTATCGCTCCAGCCCCTAAAATTTTTAATTTTTTAATGAATCACCGTGAGGTACAGTTACAGACTTACAAACTTTCGTGCTTGTGTTTCAATCATACAATGATTAAGTACCCATCTCTCCACCAGTGCCCATTCTCCACCACCAATGTTCCCAGTACCCTTCCCACCCCCTCCCAACGCCCCCCCCATCCTCTTACTCTCTCTCTCTCTCTCTCCTTTAGGGTGTTGTGGTTTGCAATGCAGGTATTAGGTGGCCATCATGTTCTGTTTATAGTCTACTTTCAGCACCATCTCCTATCCTGAGAGGGCCCTCCAAGCACCCTTTACTTGGTGGTCTCTTCTCTATCTGAGCTGCCCTTTCCCCCATCATGTGAGGCCAGCTTCCAAGCCGTGGAGCAATCCTTTTGGTCCTTATCTCTACTATCCTTGGGTGTTAGTTTTGCGTTTTGTTACTTTATATTCCACAAATGAGTGCAATCTTTCTATGTCTGTTCCTCTCTTTCTGTTTTTTTTTTCTTTTTGGGTCACACCCAGCAATGCTCAGGGGTTACTCCTGACTCTGCACTCAAGAATTACTCCTGGAGGTACTTGAGGAACCATATGGGATGCCGGGGATTGAACCCGGGTCTGCCTTGTGCAAGGCAAACGCCCTACCCACTGTCCTATCGCTCCAGCCCCTGTTCCTCTCTTCCTGACTCATTTCACTCAGCATGAAACTTTCCATGTTGATCCACTTATATGCAAATTTCAACACTTCATCTTTTCCAATGGCTGCATAGTATTCCATTGTGTAGATGTATCAAAGTTTATTTAACCAGTCATTTGTTCTTGGGCACTTGGGTTTTTTCCAGATTCTGGCTATTGTAAACAGTGCCTCAATGAACATGCAAGTGCAGATGTCATTTCTACTATACTTTTTTGCCTCTCTGGGATATATTCCCAGAAGTGGTATTGCTGGGTCAAATGGGAGTCAGTTTCTAATTTTTTGAGAAACGTTCATACTGTTTTCCAAAAGGGCTGAACCAGTCGGCATTCCCACCAG